CTGCACCCCCAGGTCTCTGTGACCCTCCTGCTCCTCACTTTCTCTCCTCCATTCCTGACCATGGGCAAAACTGTCCTGCTCTGGGTGGTGTTGTAAAGGCAACATTTATTTAACTTATATTTGTGCCAGAGCCCAAATTGGCATGGAAGCTAATTAATGCATTAATCACCCATCATCCTCATAAGTCCTTCAGGGTACTGAAGCTGGGTGGGCAAGCCGTAGACACAAATCTACGGAGCTGGCCATGAAGAAACTGTTGGGGAATGTCCTGATCTGGTATGGTCCAAAGGAGTCAAATTGCTCAGGTTTTCAGACGCTGGCAGAAAGCATCCTTTAAAGCGTAGACTGCCCTGGCCCAGATGTCAGCTGGGGTGCACCGACCCTCGGCCTGTCTCTGCGGAGGCCCCATTCGCTGCGCGTAGCAGGGGCCTGGTGCTGGTCAGTGCTGCTGGCTCCCGGCAGGGCGCTCTCCTCCTGGTGCTTTCCTGCAGCGGGCAGCTTCCAGTCTCTGCATGATGCCCTGGCGGGAGGGGGCGGTTCTGGGACAATTAACTGAAGTCCCTGACTCTCAGGGTACCATCAGCGTTGTGGCCACAACAGCTCCTCTCTTTCCGAGCTCTCAGGTCCCTGCGTGTTATCAGTGCTGTAGCAGCTCCTGACTATCTTCAGGTAACAGCAGTGCCTACACATCAGCGTGCCCTCCTGCATTGCTAGATGTTTTTTGCAAGACACGCACGCTGATGCTGGCTTAGCATCTTGATTCTGGGGCCCAGAGCCCATTGCTTTAGCCCAGACGACAGCCAACGAGGATGACACCGCTCTTGGAAGCTGCAAATTTAGACCTGTAGGTTGTAGTCAAAGAAATTGTTTCTCTCTGGGAACGTATGTCTTTGCAGAATGCTTATTTTTGGAAATTGTTCTTTATACTTCTGCTGCTCGATAAAGCAAAAGCGTAATTAATATTGTGGCTTTGTCTACTCTGTAAGTTTGTTTTAACTTCTGCTGAATTTAGTTAGCCAATTCTCTTTCAGAGGGTTTGCATTGCCAGATTCCCTCTGTGTCTTCTTTCCCCAGCTGCTCATCACGCCAATCTTCTGTTCTTCGCCTCCGTGCTGGCCCTGCTAGCCCCTCTTCTTGCTGTGAACATTGAAAACCTGGAAAGATTGAAAGCAAATTTGGATGAAATCGTTAATCTCCATTCAGATGGGCCCCATCCTGGTATGTGTTTCCTCTCTCACATCCCTAAACTCTGTTCATCCAAATGTCAGGAGCCCTCCCCTCTCTGCACAGAGAGGGAGATGTGGAAAATAATCTTGGGGAAGGGCAGGCATGCTCAGAAATAAAAGGAACTTGATCAAATCTTCCTCCAACTTCAGATCTTAACTAAACATCATAAGATTTGGTCGTTCAACCTTCTTTGTTATTGACAAGACCATATGTGGCGGCTTTTTCTAGAGAGCTGTAGATTTTTGAAGGAAGACCTTTTCTCTTGCTAGCTATAGTCCACATGTAGCCCTCGAACTTGAGAGAAATTTTGTAGAAGTGACCAACCAAAATGCTTTCTGAAGCTTGCACATGCCTAAATGATACGAAAAACTCGTCACACCACTGACAGAGGTCACACCATCGGAGGCTCTCGGGGAATGCTATCTTACAAAGATGGGTGCTGTGATTTCTCTTTAAAAAGAGCATTGCTATCTTATATGCTTTGAGCTCCTTTTCTCTCTGAAGGTTTCTGAAGCTCTTTATGAATGGAATGAAAAAATTAATCCCTTCAGCTGCCACTGAAAAGCAATGCAGGTTTACAGCAACCTCACTCAGCAGTTTAATCTTGGTCTGAAACCACATGCAGTCTGTTTTCGTCTCGATCCTTCTACTCCAGCAGTATCTCCTTGTCCTCAGCACTACTACTCGGACATGCAGTCCACTCCATGCAAGTCTGTAAAGCCATAATACTGAGTGGACCGAAGAGGCAGCTGCTCAATAACTGCAGTGTTACCCTTCCTAGTATCTTAGCCCTTTAAAGAGTTTACAACCAAAAACTACCATACAGGAAGAAAAATGAGCCCAGTGGCATTGTAGAAGTGCCCTACAAAAAACTCACGTGCTGTGGCACAGGGCTGCTCATCTCACTCTTTCTGTTTTTCCCAAAGCACGTGAAGATCGAACGAACACGCGGCAGAGCAGAGCCAGTGACCCTCAGCGGACAGACCGCAGCAGTAAGTGCCCCCGCCACCTCGCAGGGAACAGGGAGAGGTGTGGGCAACGAGGGTCCAACAGCGGTGGGTGGGCAACGAGCCTGGGGAGAACCCGGCTCAGCCCCTGGGGGCAAGACTCGATGTGCTCCTCCACAGCGCATGCCAAGGCCACTCAGACAGCACTCGTTACTAGTGATAGCTTCACCCTGAACCGTGCCTTACAAGATCCCAAAGGACTTTGCAACCATTACTTACGTGCTACAAGTCCTCTCCTCTGCTGTGAAGCTCTGCACAGGGCGAGCAGAGGATGTGCCTCCCAAGCAATGACTGCTGGGGTTTCACAGTTGGCCACTGGGTCCAATGCCAAGGGAACGAGGTCTTCTCCTTCCCGACCCCAGGGCTGCGGTGGAGGCCAGGGCTGCAGGAACAGCTCACTTGCTCATTTAAGCTTCTGCATAACTATGTAATAAGAGCCCTCACCAAGCCAAGCTTGGACCTGTGTATTGTTATAAGGGAGGAAAAACATCTGAACGTTGGGAAAGGCTGAGCCAGAAGGAGAAGAAAATTCTGTGCTCATACCTTCAAAATATATGCATATTCTCTTAATCACTCTATTTCCCTTACACAGGTTTTCTGCTTTTACACTTACAGTAAGAAACACAGCGGTAGACCTTTTACTACCCCGGCAAAATCCCATATACGCTCATTTTCTAGAAATCCTTCTCACAGGGCCAGACAAGTAGACTGGGGTGTTGCTGTGCCTGTTGGTCCTCCATGTTCTCTCCTGCCCCAGGTTGGCCCAAGGACTGCAGCGAGGTCCCCGCTGGCAGCCCCAACGGCATCTACGTCATCCAGCCCAAGGGACTGCACCCCATCGTGGTGTACTGTGAAGTGAATGAGACGGACGGGGGCTGGACGGTCATCCAGAGGAACCGGCAGAACACGGAGATCACCTGGGCCGAGTCCTGGAGCACCTACAAGTACGGCTTTGGGAATGTGCACACCGAGTACTGGCTGGGCACCGAGTACATCCATCAGATCTCCAAGCAGAAGGTCTACCAGGTCAGGTTTGTCATCTGGGATGCTGCAAACAATGCCACGTTTGCAGACTACAACCTCTTCAGCCTGGAAGATGAGTCCCAGGGCTACCGGCTGAGGCTGGGAACGTACTCGGGGTTGGCAGGGGATGCCATGACCACAAACAGTGCTTCCACTGTGCACGACAACATGAAGTTCTCCGCCAAAGATCAGGATCAGGACACTTACAGCGGGAACTGTGCCTCCAGCTACGGGGGCGGGTGGTGGTACTCGGCCTGTTACTCTGTACGGCTGAACGTCAAGGGGGCCATAACGTGGGGCAGCCTGTGCAGCGGCAACTGCAAAGGCTCTGCCATCCTCATCAAACCAGCTTCCTACTGCTAGTTGCGTTTTCATTTCCTCTCTGTCCAATCTGAGGCTAATTTTGGCTCGGCAAAGAGATGGAAAACGGCAGAACATGTCATGGCCAAACCTAGTGTCCTAGGGAGTCTTTGCTGAGGTTGGTCATATCCTAGCTACTGAAGGAAATAAGGCGTCTTCCACTTCTTCTCCCTCCTGTAGATTCCCTCTACTCCTCAACTGTGCCTTTATCCTTTTGTTCAGAGTCAGGTCATTTTAATTATGTTAATAATCAGAAGAGTCTCTTGCAAAATCTGGAGTTTCCAGATCTGTAGTGTGCTTCGGATAAAATGTGAAACAGCCAAACACCAGTGGATCTATATGGCTGTGTAAGTTAATTTACACCCTTAACTTCAGGCAAACTACCTAATTTTCACTTGCTGAAGACCTTGCTCAAGATAGTAATGTGCACAGTCTAATTCCCACTCTGTACCTTCCACATTTCAGGCTTAATAGTTGTTAACTATTCAAATAAATCTGTATTAAAAAAAAACTGTCTCAGTTGTAAAAGTCGATTTCAAATCTTTGAAGTGCTCACACAGGTTAATGTGTTCGAAGGTTTCCACCACTGAAGCTCAGCTTTCCTGTAGGACAGACATTGGGGACTGCACGGCAAAAGCAATGCATAAATAAAAGTTGAAATACTGCAGGCAGACTTCTGCCTTTGCACACAGCAGGTTTGAGCAAGCTGTCGTGGTTTAACCCCAGCCAGCAGCTAAGCACCCCGCAGCCGCTCGCTCGCTCGCTCCCCCACCCCAGTGGGACGGGGGAGAGAATGGGAAGGGTGAAAGTCAGAAAGCTCGTGGGTTGAGATAAGAACAGTTTAATAATTGAATGAAAATGAAATAGAATAGTAGTAATAGTAATAGTAGTAGTAGTAGTAATAACAATGAAGAATAATAATATAATACAATAATAATATACAAAGCAAGTGATACACTATACAATTGCTCACCACCCACCGACCGATGCCCAGCCGGTCCCCGAGCAGCGATTGCTGCCCCCCAGCCAACTCCCCCCAGTTTATGTACTGGGCATGACGCCGTACGGTATGGAATAGCCCCGTGGCCAGTCTGGGTCAGCTGGCCTGGCTGTGCCCCCCCAGCTCCTTGTGCACTGGGCAGAGCAGGGGAAACTGAAATGCCCTTGACTGGTGTAAGCACTGCTGAGCAACAACTCAAACATCAGTGTCTTATCAACATTATTCTCATCCTAAATCCAAAAGGCAGCACTACGCCAGCTACTAGGAAAAAAATCAACGCTATCCCAGCTGAAACCAGGACTATAGGAAGTGTCAAAACGTTTCCACTTTTCTCAGCAACAGTGAGTTTTAGGTTTTGGTGTCCATGCAACTGGCATCCCTACAGCCGGTGCGGTGGTTTGCAGGTGGGCGCTGCTGCGCTCCATTGCTTACGGCAGGGTGACTTCCACAGTCACCACCTGCAGAGAGGGGAAGCAGGACGGGCCCATTGGTGCCCTAATGTTCCCCTGGCAGGAGGACGTGAGCTGGAAGCCCCCAAGCCCAAGGTGAGCAGGGGAAGCGTCCTGCCCTCAAAAGCATCTGCATGCCCCCTCGTTCCTGTGCCTGGCCTTTGTAACAGCAGGCCCAAAACACTGCCTGGGCTTTCCAAGAACTGCAGGCTTAACGAGGAAAGGCTGCAGGCTTAGCACAGTTCATGTATAACTAACACGTCCCAGGAAAGGTGATATATGTGAGGCATTTTATGTCTTTAGGGATTTGAAGACTGTGCCTGAGAGGTCCCATTTGGTGAAGCAGGGACTCAGATCTGAGCAAAGTGAGGGAGCACGGGAAGGGCTCAGAAGAGCTCTGGCACGAGGTATCAGCAGGTAAGTGAATAGATGAATATTTGCATTGATTTATGTCAGGACTCGACATTACAGCTCAGAAAATGCAGAAGCCTTCAAGCAGGATCTATCATCTCTGCCAGGGTCAAACCTATGGACACACCGATTCCATCACTGACCATCAACCCACCGATGCAAAACAAAGTTTCCCACACAAATCATGGCCTTACATTTTTCTGGAAAGGATTGATACGTTCCCTTCTTTGAGGGAAGACGCACATCAGCAGATGCCAACCATTTTACCTTGCAGTCACTGTGGTATTAATGTGTTAAAAATGCCTACAATGGCATGTGAATTTGAGAGTTGTTTTTGGCTCAGTGAGATGAGAGCTGCCATCCTCATAAATGGAGAAAGACAGGCTAGCAAATAAAAATCGGTGAAAACAAATCTTTTATTATCGTATTATGCTTGTGTGGGATTTTTTTACACCATGGTTTTACTGGGTCTGTGTGTCTGCCTTTTACAGCGGTATTTCTCTCCCTGCCTCCTACCACCTCCTGTTCAGGCCCCCTTTGCGGTGAGTCACGAGGTGCGTGACAGGCAGGAGGAGGCAGCTGCCAGCTCAGAACGAGGACCGTACTCCGTGTAGGAGACAATAACTTAAATAAAATGTTCTCAGCTGTCAAACTTGGGAATTTCTTGTTGCATTTAGAAATGTTTTCTTGGCTAACTCTCTTGCCTTAAGACAGATTCGGAGACGTGTGATTCAAGTGACCCTCTGCTCCAGGACCCGGTGGGTGCGTACCCGCAGGGTTTGCCGGGCAGCTTCCAGCGTGAAGGAAGCGTTGCAGGCAAGGAGAGCCCAGAAATATTGCCTACGGAGTCCAGCTGCAGGCTGCAATTTCTCTTCCATGTTCGTTGCTCTGTCCTGCTGCTGCAAGGAGTGCTGAGAGCCCCTCAGCACAGGCTGCACACACGGGAGTGTGAGCGAGGCCATCTGAGGAAGAAAGCACCAAGAATCTCATTGTGTGGATATACAGCAGAAAATTTCTTTCCAGGCAGAGGGAATCCAATCAGCTCTCTCTGAACCTGGGTTTCCCAACCTTTTCCAAAGGATTTAGTTATTTGGGATGCCACCATCTCTTTTTGAGAAGAAACTTATATTCTACCTTCCCCCAAAAGCTTTTGCCACTTTCCCTGAGCTGTTACCTTGTGATCTGACCCACTTCTGCCCCGCGCTTTGCGCCTCCTCTCCCCGCGAGCGCGCCCCTGGCCCCGGTTCCTCCCAAGGCCACATCAGGTGATGTCTGCATGAAGCCGGCTCTTGGCACCCGGCCGAGCAGAGAGAGGCACAGCACGGGCTGGTGCAGACGCTTCATGCCGTGCGTCCGCCGGCATCTGCCATAGTGCTCCTGCAGACAGGGACTCGATCCTGGGGTCTCCTCATCGTGGGCTTGCGGGAACACCCAGCCTCCTGCCACGGCTGAAGCGGCTGCTCAGCTTTCGTTGCGCCCCTCTGCCTGCTGGGGAAGAGGGCTGTGTTTCCAGTTCCTAAATTTGCCTTTTGTGGGTTGTCTCCCTCCTTCATTTCACAGCAAGCTGGTCAAATCCTGCCCAGATGGATAAATCCAGCTCCATGGGCACCCGCAGGCCCAGGGCAAGCAAAGGCTGGCCCCATTTACAGGCAGAGGAAGCGGAGAAGCGACGTGCTGTGGGCATGCTATGGCAGCACCACCGCCATTGGGACTGTCACAGCTGTGACAAGTGGCAGTCCTCCCCAGCTGGCCTCGCTTGCAGAGGAGAGAGCGCTTCCAGCAGCAGAGAGAGACAGAAACAGGGCCGGATCCTCATGGGGCATCACGCATCTTCACATTTTAAGAGCAAAAGCCACCGGTGATTCTGAAAAAGCCGTTCTCCTTTGCCTGCTCATTCTCATTAAGGCCAATTTTCACTTTCCCTGCTCGTAATTACGAGCTCTATGTTTCTAGCAGGAA